ACACTCAACACACCACATCACATAATTATATAATATATATTATTTTATATATTATATATTATATATATATATATATATGCGTCGGGAAGGCGGTGTGGCAGTCTATAACAAGACGTATATTTCTGATATCCATTTCGTACAAATGTGTAACCGTTCTCGCTACGAGTAGTTGTGGAGAATGTTATTTGTTAATGCGGTGTGAAAAGCACGGCGAATGTTGCGGGCTAGAAAATCAGTATGTTACAGGTGGGCTCTAGTATGGAAAAATGGTAATCCAGAGGAAATGAAGTTAGAAAAAAAGTTCTACATGCGTGAAGTGCAGCCAGAAATGATATTGTTGGGGGTTTGTATCGAAAAATCCGAATGACGGCAAAAAGGATGTCATTCGGTTTTTTGTTGTCACGTCACTTACAAGGCTAGACCCTTACAGCCGATTTTTCTCCAAAATGGTATTTCCTCTCCATTGGAGCTTGATGTTGCAGCGGGTACTTATATTGTTAAGCCCCCTTAGCATTGGGATATTAGCAGAACGACCACGGGGCATGTACGGAGGTATTGGCCTGAGCAACCCACGTGATAGCAAAGGATACCAGATCTATCCAACACTTTTGTTAGAAGGATTGGTATAGATCAAAGTTCACAGAGTACCATAAGCCCTCTGGTGCTTCTTTAATTTTGTGGATGATTCGCCATTCCTCTTGCTGTCTGATATGACGAGGTTAAAAATCCGTAACTCTTCATCAACATCAAGATAGACATAACAATTTTATCATTAGGTTAGTGCTAGTATTTGTTTCAGCCTTGGGTGATGCATGTAGTGAGTAAGGAAGGTGCATTCTTGTTCGAATGGAAAAATCATGAAGCAGTATGGTGCGTCATATGGATTTCTTTTTTGTCTAAACATTAATCTTCTCTGCCTGAAAAGGAAGATAAGCCCGTAGTGTGCATTTTTCTTCCGTTCTTACAAAAAAAAAAATCTAGTACTGAATCTTTTGTGAGTAATAAGAAATAGACTAGACGAAGTAAATGTATGAGGAGGCGAAAGCCTTACCCAGGGAAATATTTGAAGTAACTCCCATATTAATGTATAGTTACAGGCTATAACTAGTATCTTCATCAGTGTCTGTTCTTTTTTGCTAATCACTCCTATAGAGAATCCATTTGGGCGCGATTATGACTTAATGAATTATCTTTGGGTTGGGGAATACTATCATCATTCTCTATGATCATAAAAATTCTGCCTACAAATTGATTTCCAATACTTCTACATATCTGTTTCGTTCTCGGTCCTAGTTTCAATTTGTTGGCGTACAATGAGTACAATTATCTTCAAAACTCTCCATATTTTATTTTTTAATTGCTTCAAGTTAAAGAGTATGTGTTTGGTATTAACCAGAATTTGCGGCAAAGTGGGAGTAAAAATACTAATCTTGAAGCGCGGACTGTAGTTCAATGCCTCAAAATGGTCTGGGAAATTCTTTTCGCCGATGAAATTTCCATATGTTCAAAATTTTAAGATATAGAGAATTAAACTCATGCCTCAGGATTTATGTCACGATGTTTTGAAAACTAAGTGCACTTTGGCTTGATGATAAACTTAAGGGTAAGTTGTTTTTGC